CAGCCCTCCCAACTGTTTACCGCCTCATTGTGTCTGAAAGGTGTTCCTAGGTGTCGAGCTGCGGTACACAGGGATTCATCTCTCTGGGTAGGGTTTCCCAATCTGAGAAGGAGTCCGGCGCTTCCATCAGGAAGCCTAGCTAAGAGTAAACTAATAGCAGGATCCACCACCGTCCAGGCATCAAATTAGTCGCATGGTGGCAAATCTCCCTCTGATCCACAAGGGCTGCGACCTCCTGTGGTGGTGAAGACCTGGGGCAGACTTTGGCCACGTTGATCTCGGGATTCCAGGGAAGCGCAATGGCTTAACCGACAAATCTCCCAAAAAGTGGAGATTATGCTGAGACCCGCACAACCACTAAGAACGGACCATTCAAGTATCAAGTATTTTATCCAATAGCTCATCGCCCAAGTGTACATGAGAAATTTAAATGCGTCGAAGTACGATGTAAAGAGGAGGGTCCAAATTCTAGCACGGTTACTGGAGGTGTGTTCGATACTTGAATCCCAGAGTGGCAACTCTCCACCTCGTAGAGAAAGTTCTCTGCTGCTACATATTGTCATGTTTTCTATGTTATTTGCATAATGTTTCAGAAAATCGAATTCTTACTGGGATTCGTCATAGCAGCTGGCCTGTGTGGAAATGCCCAACCTCATTTCGGCGACATTTGGATCGAGTCGGTACCCAGTCAACATTTTGAAAGCACCAGGCCTACTTCCGGCTCTTTGCGCTGTTGCCTAGCAGAGACTATGCTAATTTCAATCGCACTCACCGTGTTGTAAGTCATCGCTCTGTTGAAGCTGCTTCTAAACTATCATGTACACACGTGCACTGGTGTCATCGCTACCTTATTATTGTTATTATATATGTGTCTACTTCGATACCTTGACGGTTCATTCTCACCGGTTGTGAAGCCCCAGCACCTTCTCCGTTTCCGGAGTTTTGCTGATGTAGCCACAGTGTTTCCCAAGTGCCGAGGTCACTTTGGCCGAATTCTGCCCCAGGTCGTCACCACCACAGGCAGTCACAGCCCTTGTGGATGATCAGAGTGAGATTTACCACCGTGCCCTTCTCAGCTTGGGAGACCTTGCCGGAGAAACGAATTCCCCCGCTGTACATCGCAGCCCGACACCCAGGAACACTTCCCAGCCACGATGAAACGGTAAACTTTTGGGAGTATATGTATATATAATTGCACATCTAGATGTATACGCATATAATTCACTTTCAATTTTCAATTCAACGGGTAGACCCCTCTGTGTCCGCATGAAAGAACACCTAGCCGGCAAAAATAGACCAAATACCCCGCTAGGCACGCATAGGACCCAGAGACATAACGGGGACGACTTCGAAGTATGTGTCACGATCCTCGCACGCGAATCAAGAACACAGGCGCGAAAAACTCTCGAGGCACTCTGGATTAATTCCAGAAATCCGAAAATGAACCGCAGGGAAGAATGCCTCATTATCACGCGTGATATAGGGCAGTATATAAAACTGCTTTTCTGATATGAGGGGCACATTATACTTCCACGTGATTTCTGTGCGGTTGGTCTCTACGTGACATACTTAGTGGAAACCTCATAGAAAGCGGTGAGTGTGCAAAGCTGTGTTCAAAGTGATTGAAATCTTGGTTTGGAGTTTCTTTGTTTGGTTATGGAGGCGTCTGGCCGAGTGGATTGCTATCAACTTGACCTTTCCAGGCTCTGAAGAAGGCGAAATCAGCCGAAACGTCAGCTTAATCGTGAACAAAGAATAGTAACACTCTGCATAATTTATATGTGAAGGTGTAATTATCCAATTTGAGGTTCGTGTGAATTCGTAATAAGTCGAGCATACGACACTGAACTTGTCAATATAACCACTAACGTTTTAAGAAGAAACAAGCACAGGTAGGACTATTCTCAAAAAATCTTAACACTATTGGTATTGAAGTCAATACAATCATCCAAAACACCAACCCCCTTATGCATTGAAATCGACTAGTACGTTAATATGGTCTTTTATATGCGATCTTTTGCTCCTTTTGCAAGTGTTACAAAGAACAATTAAGATCGAGAACCTTTTTACTGCGTTAAAAATTGAAAACTTAGAACAGCAAAAAACAACGGATTAGAGAATAATCCGTCTCAGGCAAAGATATCCATTACAGTAGGCTATGAAGGCAAAACTTAGCTCAAATATGTAGTTGTACCCTATATCTAGCATTGGAAGATTTTATAGAACATCATAATCACCATAGTAAGAAATGAAAGCGACTTCCAATGATTATCCTGTACTAACGACCTGGTCTTAGAGAAGCCAGCACTTTTATGCCTTCACTGATCAAAGCAAATAATTCTCGAATCTCTGATTGGTTCTCACATCGGTCTAGTAGCTCGCAAGCCCATTTCAGCTTTCGATTTACAGCGAGATAGACTGCCACTTCCCCATCGGATAAGCCCTATAATGGAAAGCTTCAAATCCATACAACAGTCCTTTAATCAATATATGTGGTATTAAACAAATGTTGATAAATGTGCACTTGGTAAAGAGTACTTCTTCTTATTGCTCGCTGGCTATTAATGGAAAAACCACTACGACAGTTGGTTAGCACACAATATAGATCTACCTTTTACTAGAACGGAATTCTCCATGTTCTAAAGATTCCACTGAAGATGTGGTCTCTACAAAAAATGTCAAGGTTTTTCAAACTAATCAGCGCTCATATTTCAAAACCTTTTCGTCACAATAATTCGACTTCCGATTAGTCTCGACATTGATTGAATCACGTGATCTTGCGAAACCAGCTTTTTTGGGCTGGCACGAGGTTGATAACAAGTAATCTTGAAATCAAAAGCTAACGTTTCGAAGCTTCGCCTTCTTCGAAGCCATTCCCTTTCTACTGAAAAATTTCTATGTTTTAGAAATGAGGAAGAAGAAAGAAGACGGCTTCGAAGAATACGAAAGCGCCGAAATGTCAGCGACTGAATTATAAGAATACGTGGTAACAACCTCCAGCCAACTCCAAAAACAAATGTTCTTACGATCACATAAGCTTCCATCACCATTTTTTTTGTAAACATTTTTAAAAAAAGTCGAAATAAGGTGATGTCGTGGATACTTCTGATGTACACACTATGAATCTAGATGCAAAAAATGTTAATCAGGGTCATGAAAACACTCCATGGTCTCACTATTTCTCTGGCTTACTTCAAGGGTTCAACCCACTCACGACGCTATAGACACTACAGCGTTCATAGGTAGGTGCGTGAGTGGATGAAATGGACACTGTAGTGTCCAATTTCAGTTCAGTGGCTTCTAGAGTATTTTTTTCAACCGCATTGTGTATATTAACTCGTGACCTTGTCGAAAGCAGATCGAAATAGAAGAAATGGGCAGAGAAAAAACATTCTCTACTCTTAATGATTTGCAAAGAACCTTTTTTGGAAAAATTTGTTGCACGGAATTTTTATTAACAATGAACTGTTACTTCAATTTAATTTCCATGGTTATTGTATGGAATGTGCGAAAATAACTGTACAGAAGAAGACTCAGTAAATATATACTTGCAAAAACTTCCAAAATGTCGACAGTGATGTATTTGTATTATGCACCATAGTAACGCAGTATGGAGCAGACTTTGGTCAGGCTGTCCTCAGGATTCCAAGGAACCACAACGGCTTAACCAGTAAATCTTCGAAAAATGGTGACTATGCTGGGGCCCGCACAACTAGCGAGGACGGGCTGTTCAAGTATCAAGCATCAAGTAACACAGTAAGTAGTAGCGTGTATAGCATTCATACTCACAGAACAATAGGGCGAAGTCCCTTATACAATCCAGCAATGTTCACAATCCCTCAAGTCCTCCAATCATCGAAAAAGGTTTACCATCAACAAACCAGAAAGCCAGTAGCCGACGAAGAACTATTCCATTTAGCCAGCCACGAGATAAAAGGCGCTGTCGCGAATGGGTCGTTCCGAGTTCCTCGAGATAATTAGCAAGTTGCCGACTCCATGCCGTAGAATGACAAGATCGTTACTTTCATTTCGATACTTCGCCAGTTTTTCATACGTAATAGAGTAGCGGGACCGTGTGTAGCGCAGTGGATAGAGGCACCTTACAGTACACGTGGATTCGATCCCAGGCACTTAGTTCACCAAGCTTTCCATCTTTCGAGAATTGACAAATTGGTGTATGTCTGGCAGGATAGCAGCACTGGCTCGATAGATCGGTAGGCCACCGTGAGTCATTGTCAAGGCCAGATATGCACTAAGTTACCTCCAACGTTGCACACATGCATAACTACGTCTCGTGAATACAAAGAGTATGTGCCAAAGACAGTCCATCCCCTAGATCCATCTGCGTCTAAGAGAAGAAAACGTCGATTTTGGCCCGCGGTTAACCCCTAACCGCTACCTGGGGACGTGCCACGTAGCGCCGCGTCTAGGTGGCTCAAGATCCCTTATATGAGGGAGATCCGTTGATAGGGAAGTGTTAGAGATAGAAATTAACAGCATACATATATATATATTAGCGTGAAAAACTTTCTTCAATTGCTTTAAGTTGTAGATCTATGCGTACTAATAGCAGAAAATTGTTACTAACTAATCCATGAAATAATGAGCATGGAAGCTAACTTGGTACTTATGATGAAGAGTAGTCATGATGTCAACAGTATCGTGAGTGGTAGATTGCGCAGATCCTTCTGACCACAGCTTTCTTTCCACGTCAACGACTTGCACCTTTAAAAAAACAATATCAGATATACTGTGCACTTCAACATTTGATGCACTATTTACACCACTCTATGCTACCTCCAGATAACTCTAAATAAACTTAATTAGTATCCCAATTATTCCAAATTTAACTTAAATATATGTACATATACTTACTTACTTGACACTTGAACGGCCCGTCACCACTAGTTGTGCGTGCCCCAGTAGAATCATCATTTTTCGGAGATTTGCCGGTTAAGCCATTGTGATTCCCTGGAATCCCGAGGACAGCCTGGCCAAAGTCAGACCCAAGTCGTCACCACCACAGGTAGTCGCAGCACTTGTGGATCAGAGAGAGATTTACCACCATGTGACTTTGGTACTAAGACGGTGGTGGATCCTGGTATTGGTTTACTCTTAGCTAGGCTTCCTGATGAAAATGCCGAACTCCTTCTCAGCTTAGGAGACGAATCTCCCCGCTGTGCATCGCTGTTCGACACCCAGGAACACCTGCCAGCCACGTTGAGGCGGTAAACCGTTGGGAGATGTACATAGTTTACCGCCCATCGTGGGTGGAAAGTGTTCCTGGGTGTGGGCCTTGATGTACAGGGTAGGGGGAACTCATCCTCCCTGCAGGGTCTCATAAATGTTGATAAGGAGTCCAACGTTTCAATCACCAAGCCCAACCATAGTAAACTAATACTATGACGCACCACCATCCTGGTACCAAACTAGTCGCATAGTGGCCAATCTCCCTCTGATCCACAAGGGAGGCAACTGCCTGTAGTTGTAACGACTAGGGCCGGACTTTGACCAGGCTGGCCTCGGGACTCCAGGGAAACACAAATGACTGAACCAGCAAAACTCCGAAACAACATGCTGGGGCTTGCAGAACCAGTGAGGATGGGCCGTCCAAGTATACAAGTAATTATATACATCTATATAAATGTAGATATAAACTTGCCGAATCCTGTCCACGTTGGGGATTTTCTGTTGCCAGAAGAACGTTTCCGGGTGTGACTCCGTCAGCAGTCACATCTAAATCAGAATTAGCATGCAGATATAAAATAATACTTTAATAGAATAGAAGCTCTCGTTATATACCCAACGGTACTTCTGCTACTAAGCGAGACCCCTCTTTGGTACGCTCATTAAAAAGTTCACATGTCACACAATTGCGCACACCGTCACGATTCTCCATAAGGATGCCCTAAAAAATATATTGCAATGTAGCAAAAGCTGATCGAAAGCCTTGGAACACAAACTATGTATATTAATGGAAACTGGAAGTACGTAATCAGATGACAACAGAAAAGCTGAGAGTTCGAATACATGCATTGCAAACTTCACAGTACGCATCAAGCATAGTCATTCCCCGTAGTAGAAGCTCGCCCATTCTTCGGGACACATCGTCTCGGAATTCATCTCGACAGCGTCGCGCCTCCGATAGTTGTTCCTGTAGATGGGCATAAATCAAAGAAACATCGAAAATACAAATCACATTATAGCTAAGATTCTGGAAGGTCTAAAAACGCAGTTCTAAGCATTGATGAACTTGTGCTTTTTTGCAAAACATGGTTACCACAGTTAGCTCTCTAGTCCCATTTAACAGAACCATATCTCCGAAGCAGCTTCGAGCTGGAATGTCTTGAGTACAAGAATATTTCTCTTCCTCTGACGCAAACTTCTTCTCGGTAACTCGACTTCGCTCACTGAATCCACGGTGGCCCATATACCCTAGAACTTTATCATTAAGAAATGCGACAAGATGGCAATGAAAAGGAGAACGACGAAACATCCATGACGTCAACATAATAGAAAACAAGAATTTCATCAACATGAATAAATGTGATGCATGAAATACAAACAGCAATTGAACATTATTAAGGAGTATGACTGAAATAAGCAGTTGCGTGGCGTTCGAACCGGTGATATATACAGCTGAAGTATCAAATTAGAGCCACCTAAAAAGAGGCTACCATGTTCATCAAACATACAACGAAAGCACTTCAAAAGGATTTTGTCCAAAATTCTTGCTCGTCACCAAGTTGCATTATTTGGTCAAACCCTTCTCTCTTGGCACAGCCATCTTCACCAAAAGAAAACCTAAAACTACGTTTGCGATAATATGTGATATGTTCTCCCTTGAAAAATAACACCTCTGAAGAGTTGAGATACAACGGAATATGGTTGAATTAAAAATTTCCACCTATGATAAGTCCCATCTTGACAAATAGCTATGATAGATTGCATGGAAGACGAGGACGCTAAAAACAAACAGTCATAAAGATTATAAGGCCTGGAAAAAAAGCACAAAACCTTTCATAAAGCCGCATGAAAGAACACGTGGCTCGAGGGAAATTTGAGCCGAACTACGTTTTTCGCCTTTAGTAAGACCAACCTAAAACGAGAAAAATGTACTATGCAGAATATCACTAGTTTAATACTGCAGCCTCACCTTGTGTAAAATACCTCTCTTTGTATCATCAGAATCTCGCACAGCAAAAATATGAATAGTACCCTGGTTACAAGGAATAAACTGAGACCGGAGAAGATTTTTGAAACAAAAATAAAAACCCTCACTTTATCGCTAGATACTGCCAAAAAACTGGAGCAAGGAGAAAATTTTAGGCAATGTAGTGTACAGGGGTCAGCACCGCGGCGAAACTCCATTAGACATCGAGTTACTGCAGAGTTAGCGTCAAAGATCCTAAAAGAAATTTGTTGAATATGATCGTGAACATAAATAAAACAGGAACAAAGGAAAATAAACAAAAAAACGACAGTAGAACAACGTAACATACGAATAAAAAGATTTCAAAGAGTGACTAGATAAAGAGGGGAATGCCTACTAACGACACAAAAAAGAGAGAGAATAAAACTTCATTAACGAAACTATATAACCACAATGATGCTGAGGTATTTGCAAGCTCCACCCATTAGGTGCCTACGGTGGAGAACGAACACGTTATTGTCCTTTCAAGGGAGTAATGCGTTCACCACCACACCATGCTGGCCCTTCGTTTCATCTTTCTCTCAGCCGTGTTTTATAGGTGTTACCAGCAATTACCCGTCAACGGGATTGATGTGGGAAGCAGAAATCTATACGAAAACGAAACCATAGTATTTTTATATCGAATGCAACCATCCCTCCACATTTTGTACGCTGTTCTCTCCAAACATATCGATGGCAATATGAAGACTAAAGCCATTCTACCACGAATAGAGATGAAAATATCACGAAAGAGCCATTTCTCACCGTATTACTGTTCCCTTAGTTGATCCTGTGGCAAGAAGAGTTGCTTGGTTGTTGAGTGCAAGCTGAGTGATTTCAGTTAAATGAGCGTCAACCCCTCGTGGAGACAAAGAAGCATACTCGCTCATGTTGTTCAAATTTGCAAGTTGAACACTGCCAATCTGAAAGTGTACATGGACTTCAAACTATATCTGAGCTCCTTCTGGATGAAGTAAAAGTACGATGTTTTCAATCATTAAAACAAAAACAGCTCAAAATGGGTGCGACAACTGACCTTAAAACCTGGATAGGCCAACATTTGAGTTGTACCATTGAAATCACAGCTAACAGCTGCAAGACCAGTGGGGTTGAACCTATAAAGCAACTTATACTTTCACGGAACAAAATTTACGATGTATAGGTCAAAAGTAAGTTCAAACAACGCGTACCGAATTTCTTCTGTCCTAAGTAGTTTACATGGAGTAGGAAATTGAAAGACATGAATCCTCTTCTCTTGTAAGACTATCAGCTTCGAATGCGCGAGCAAAACGTTTAGAATTGGGCCACCAGTGACAGCGAGCTTAATAAATACGTATAGCCCTCATAGAGATGGAAAAGCGATTGAAAATAGTGAACTAAACGCATTACAACACTGAAAAACTATGCCCTTACTACTGTGAAGATAAGTGAAGGTGTACAGACGTCAAAAACCTACTTACTTGGATACGTGGATGGCCCGTCCTCACTGGATGTGCGGGCTCCAGCATTCTGGATTAATTCCAAGAATTCGAAAATGAACCGTAGGAAGGAATACCTCATAATCACAAGTGATATTTGGCAACATTCAAAGCTGTTATTCCGATGAGAGGGGCACATTACGCTTCCATGTGAACTCCTTGCGGTTGGTCTCCACATGACATATTCAGTGAAAGACTCATAGAAAGCGATGAATGTGCGAAGAAGCTATTCTGTGTTCAATGTGATCGAAATCTTGGTTTACCATTTTCTTTGTCTAGTTATGGAGGTGTTTTGCTGGGTAGATAGCGGTCAACTTGACCTTTCCAAGTTCTGGAGAAAGCGAAATCCGCCGAAACGTTGGCTTGTGCGTAAATAAAAAAGCGAAATAACACATCGTGTTTCCTAAACAAAAATACAAACAATATTCATTGTTTCGGAGCTTTGCTGGTTCAGCAATCATGATTCCCTGGAGTCCCGAGCTCAGCGTAGCCAAAGTCTGGCTCAGGTCGTCACCACCACAAGCATTCGCCCCACTTGACGATCAGATTTGCCATCATGCGACTAGTTTGGTATCCGGACGGTGACAGATCCCGGTATTCGTTTACTCTTAGCTAGGCTTCCTGATGGAAACGCCGGACTTCTTCTCGGCTTGGGAGACCCTGTCAGGGGAATCCAACCACTGCACATCGCAGCACGACACCGAGGAAACCTCGCAGCCAAGATGAACCGGTAAACCGTTGGAAGGAACGTTATAGGGAAAAGATTGATTTTGCTCTTGAACTGGGTTAATTCCACGTAAATACGAACCACTAAAGGGATTTCCAAAAGCGAATGTACTATTCCAACCTTCGAAGAAATTACCTCCAGAATAAACTCCTGCTGTTTATCGTCCCAAACCATTACGGTATTAGAGGGAAATTTCGCATAGCTTCCTCCACCGACAATCACAATGATGTTAGACCTATGGAGGATACTGCATACCTGAGAAAAAACACCTCTTGCTAATGATCTACTTGCCAAAGAAAAAGGAATCAACGACAGTGGTCCTGACTCACTTTGACTCCGCCAACCTTCTCTCTACTGAAACTCCGCAGAAGCACGGCTGGATGCGTGTTGAACAGACGGATTCCCATGTCGGTGGCCACACAAAAGCAATCTTGTTGAGCATTGAAACTAGCACTGTAGACTTTGTACGATGCAGGATTCATACTGAAAATCGAAGACGTAACAAGAAGTGCTTCCTTCTCTCTATAACGTAGTACGTTTCAGTTGTAAACAAAGACATATGACGACGATAAGCAAGAAAGAACACCACCCCAAAGATTTCGCCTACGTTGAAAACACAAGGTTCTTCCAACACTACTGGTGTAGACACAATATCTGCCCCATCGTTTGCTCTTCACCATTCATCCTACCCTATTCCTACTGTTCACTGCAGTAAAAGCATATGATGTTTAGCGAAGGAAACGTTAACATTTGACCACCAGACTTCCACACATTTATGTATCTCACACAAGTAACTGCACGCACGGGGTTTGTGAAATTGCGGAATTTCGCGGTGACAGTATTGCGAGAGCCCACATTTCCCAACTCCTCCCTGAGGTAGTAGTACGTTAGGTTGTTTCAGCGGTAGTACCACCATTACTGTTATTACTGCTTTAAAGAAAACCTTTTCAGAATGGCAGCTGTTCATGAGTTTGACGGAGGACTACTTTTATGCGCATCTTCTAGTGTTTTTCTAGCAAAGAACTCTCACGACAAGTTATCCGTTACTGTGAGTAGATTAGCTTGTGTGTCTCCAAGTACTACTCTTTTAGTTTCTAGGGCTCATTCAATTCTAAAGGAGTTTTGAGATCAATCTTATCCACGAATGGTTTAGTACGTGGCTATGTAGAGCAGTTAAGCAATCCTACAACGGTTGACGCCGATGTTCAGGTGAAAAATCCATTTTAGGTACAAGGTTTAACAAATATGTGACCTTATGCGTTAGTTTAAATAGTTTCGTGAGCACAAGATCGGGCCTATGCATTGATCTCAATGCAGTTTCTCTCCAGCAACCTGCTTTTCTGCATAGAGGGTTCTTGCCGTGCTCTTTTTGACGCGGTCCATTGGAGTTTAACACTTCATAATTTGTAGGAAAGTTCCTTGGGCAAGTTGGTTCGCACTACTGAGACTTCGCTACAGATACTAATGTGGCTACTCTGCTTACCCGCTGTATTTCTAAACTTAGGAACAAGTTCATACCATTGTAACACTATAACCCTTTAATAGACTTCTATAGACTGGAGGCGCATAGAGTGCACACTGATCAGTGTTTACAATGCATCTTTGGAAACTATACATACTCCTCATTTATTTTCACTACATTCCACTGATGTTGTAGACCTTGAAATGGGCAAAGCTCTCGGCGTTGATTAATTCCTAGGGTTACACCATGCATTCGACATCACTAAGCATCGTTGGAGGTCATTGAATGCATATTTGACCCAAACAATGACTCGCGGGTCTACCGATGTATCGAGCCAGTGCTGCTATCGATGGAAGGCTCAATGAGCCTGAGCTGCGGGATCGATCCCATGTGTAATGTGGCGCGCCCCTAACCCTTACGCGACACGTGCTCCTCGTTGACTACGTTGTAGACCTCACACATAAAAATATGGTGGTAAAAACTACCGTTCTTATAAGTGAGACTCTTACCTGCCATTCACAGTCGCCACAACCCATTGCTTTTATTGAGCTCATTTACACGCAGCCAACAAACTGTTTTCATGGTTTACAGTCTGCAATATTCCCACAAATTTTGCATTTTACTGTCTACAACTGCTAGAATTTCTACTTTTTGTGAATATTATTGAGCCATTCTTGACAGCAGTGTTGTTGGACCGGTTGCATCTTATGCTGAATTGCTTGCAACCTTTTGCAACAGATTTGGAGTAGTGATTTTTGACTTTGAGATTTTGACTACTTAAAACAGCAATCACAACGTCTTCTTTTTGTCGATAGTGGAGTGGCTTTCAAAACACAGATGATAAATGCACTCTATTTTAACAGAGAAAAGTCGAGACATTGGTGAATTCTGAAGATTTGCGGCTTCCATCGCTTCACGGCGAGCGTGCAGTGATCTGTTAATGGCAACATAACATTGTGCTACTTTTCGTAGCCTTTGAGCCATTGTATCCCACTTCCATTCTCTTGGGCCTTCAACTTCCTCTCCATAGCTGGTTAACCTACTTGAGAATTTATTTCCTCTTCTTCCTACAAGTGGCATTCATATGTGCTCTTCAGCAGCCTCAGAGCCAAGGAGAGAGTGGTATGTTAATTGTTGGTGAAGAAGTGTTCTCCTTGATCCAAAGTATGATTCGAAAGCACCATCGATTTTCTCGAGTCGTCTAGCGACGTACATTTATCGTGTAAGTGTCAGCAGCTGTTGTGCACAATTGGATGATTTTAATCCATGTTTGTGCCTCTTCTTCCGTATTAGGGGGATAGGACTCTTCTAGGCAGCATGAGGAATTCGTCAATACACATTGCTCGGCTTACTTGTTAGTTTGGGCCCAGGGCGATCGCGTATCCAAAAATCGAACGGGTGCTCCAGAATTCAAACCTCGCCGGTTCAGCAATTCTAATCTGAAGGCAGTGATCACGACCGAAAAAATGCATGCAAGAGCTGAGTTTCATAACAGGGAAATAGCAAGATCGTTTTTAAATGTGTAAGTATGACATATATGTTGATTTCAAGATACACTGCCAGCTGCAAGAATAAGCATATTCTCATTAGACCGCTCCAAGCAAAATTACTCTGTGGTCCAGCAAGTGTTAATAAGACCTTTTGCGACTTCAAATATGCTTTAGATTTTGTGTTCAACTGTTTCGAATTGCCGATCACTGCTGGCGGTTGGAACATCCGAAAAGGTTGTAATTATTTTGGAAGCACGAACGTTAACCATGCGGAGAAGCTTTAGAGTTCCGAAAGCTCCTACTTCTATCACGTTTGACAAGGTATGTTTGAAGTTTGTTTCCATCTATGTGCTTTTGATACCTATACTCTCTCCAATGTTCGTTTATTCGGGATCGCTTTTAAGTTGTATCGAATAAATTTTCCAGGACGACTCACACATTGTGGTTGGAGATCGGGCTGGCCATGTTCGTAGGTATACTGTTGAACCATCCGAGAAATGTGGATACACGGATATGAATGGTGTGTTCGCATTCCTTCGCTCTGTCTTCTGATTATGTGGTGTCTCTGGTTTATTTTGTTACAACGTCGTTCCCCTTAATCTGGAAACTGGCGAACGAACTTTGTCCAGGGTAGCAGGAGCGCGCATAATTTCGTATTGGTAATCAAACGTGGGCTGTAATTTTTAGCACCATTGTCTACCGTAATTTCCTACAACGCGCTATCTAGCCGATTATGTCTTTGACGAATGAACTGCAGTCTTCAGTTGTTATCATGCTTATCTCCTAAGGCGGTCTCTTCCAACACGTGCACGTACGTTCTGACCTAACAAGTCGCATTCTCAGTTTGCTCCCTTGCATCCGAAAGCTTTGAAGTCGATCGTTTTCGCACTAGCAGGAGGGCGTATGTGACGTCTTAAGAACCGAAAACAACTTATTAAAAAAACTCGCTGAAAATGTAACAATTAAACAACAACAATGAAACAAACAACTCAGTGATGCTCTTTTATGCAGGTTGCTGATGGTGGACAGCGGTGATAGTGTGATAATAACTCGTTTTGTTCTGTTTTCTTGTTATGAGTGAGGATGCCTCATTCGAGGAGATGGCTCACTGAGGAAGACCTGACTCGACACGAAGGCGATGTTGCCACGTCGAGACGAATAACAGGCGTGGACCATCGACTCGGATCATCGGCTCTGAGGAAGGCGAAGACGTCGAAACGTTAACCGAAAATGATATCAATATCAACTTCGTGTAAGCTCATCGAAGAAAGAATACATATTGATTAGTGATATCGAGGTTCAAGGAAAGTCGGTTTCGAAACAATTAAAAGTCACTGAAAAGTCTGCTTGCTCTCTGTTTCTTCAAACGTCTTCTTTGTTTATCTTTACTGTTAGCAATATTAGATAGGAACTGGAAAAAGGATGTGTGTGCTAGCAAGGAGTATTCCTAGAATCGTTTCAATGGACATTCACAGAGTTGCAAAACAGTAAAATAGTACTTCGTTAAACAAATGCCAATGAGCTTTACAACGACTTCACAACCTGAGTTTCGGAGAGATTTCTTATAAATTTGGCACTACTATCGGAACCGGCATAGAAGCATGTGAAACCCGCATTGTCGAATGTGTTTTTAAGATGGGCAATGCTGGCAGTGTTCCGTATCGCCCAAGTGAGAGATAGAGACACAAGTTGTGAAATTATTCAAAGATCGAAAATATGGTGCAGAATCATCTGATTTCAAAGCATGCACTGCCCTTGAGATTATCATTACACTGCTCTTCGGATACATAAAACTGATTCTCAGATGAATGGTCTCGATAACCTTGTTCTCGGGTAGTTGAACTGTTTATATAGAAGAAATGCTATTCATATAATTTTCTTTCAGGAGAAGAATGCACGTTTGAAGGTGAGCCGCTATCAGGAGCAGTTACTATGATCTTGGACGTAGCTATATCACGCGATGGGAATTTCTTACTTGCTGCCGATCGTGATGAAAAAATTCGCGTCTCGCGTTATCCACAGGTTAGTTATTCCTAGACGTGTTCCTTGGATCATCGATTCTAACTCGCGATCACCGTTTCCGGAGGCTCAGGTGTTATCTACTGCACCACTGCCGCTCTCGTTCTACCTTTCTCTCAGCCAGTTTTTTTTTGTCCTGACAGTGCCATCAGCAATCACCTCTCATATGGGATTGATCGGGGAAGCACAAATCGGATTTGAACTTAGTTAATCTGAGACTAATCGAAATCACAATATATAACTTTTTATCCACTGTCTTTTATTTTTCCAAGGCAAGGTATTACGTGAAATTCGGCGGTAATGATGCTGAAATGTTTGCAAAACTTGGGCTCCAGATCAGATTCAAACCTGCGATTACTCTTTCCGGTGCTCTCGTTTTACCCATTACAATTCTGTTGTTGTAATTGAGGAAACTCGTATTCTTTTTCATTTCTTACGAAATGACTCTCGACATCGCATGTAACCACACTGTTCGGATTTCAGTACTTTCTGCTTTCGATTCCTTTTTCCGCACCCACAATCAGCGAAGGGGCTCGAACTTTTTTGGATATGGGTTCTGCTGTTGCGTGAGGATTCCTTTTCGCCTTCGTCATGAAGGTCGTTGAATGCTGGTCGAGTAGATTCTCCTTGGAGTCCTTGAGTAGCCGTTCTAGAACGTTCCCGCTTGGATTACAGATAGCGGAGTTGTCCCAAAAAAGTCTAGTGCCAATTCGCTGAGCAGAGATGAGAGGGTTTGTGGGCCTGGAGTAGAAATGGACGATAACCGAGGCCCGAGTTAGTTGGGCCGTCGACGTATTGAATGAGATCACTACTATTTCACTACCTGCACCCTAAACTCTGGTATTATAAGCGAAAACTGAAGTATGAAATTAAGATGCACTGTCCATTACAACTTATATACTTTGTTATTTGGTCAAATCAAACAAAAATAGTCAAAATAACCATCACTGGAAGAGTGCCTTCACCGTTATTTTTCCTAAGAACACCTCGAGACACTTCTTCAAGTTTTTTAAGACAAAATTTTTTATGCTGAAAAAATTTAATCCTTTTATCACGAATTTCATTTCCTTGTACCTCATTTTTGCACCATGGGAACGTGTTCTCTTTTGCTTAATACTATTTAAGGCATCGCATTTCCATGACATGTTTCCCATTTTGCCTAGTATTAAAGCCACAGCTCCACCGTTTGTAAACGTTTTCATGAAACGATGTTTCCATTAAAAAGTCCAGATAAAAGTAAGCTCATACTTGAAACTCTTGCATCTTGTAAGGACGTGGTCCCGAAATGGAAATTTTTTCACCAAAACGGCAGCATACCTGTTAGTTGGAAAATATGTTAGAGGACTATTTTAGACGAGGGGCTTTCTGAAATCCAAGTGTTATAATTTTAAGTAGGGGCATTGCCAATGAAATCAAAACCTAGTAGGCTATCAGTTAATGGTAAAGGTGGGGAGCTCTTGGTTATTCCACGTCGATGAGATGTCGAAATAATGGAAAAACATTTTTAAAATGCTTCCGTCTATCGCCCATTACCTAAAAGGGAGTTCGGAAGTGGGTACCAAAAATGAAATAAGCAGTTGCTTGACTTAGTCAGCACAGCAGGATTGAAACCACCAGTTATCTCACAGCTTAAAATTGAGTTACCAACATCTCCCGTCCTATACGAAGTTGTCAAAACTCCTGCGTTATTATCCACTTACGACCTTGCATCTACCGAATTTTCAACGTTCAACATTAGAACCAATCATCAGCTGTGTAAACGGGACCGTGAATAGAGTAACATGGTTCATACACCAAATACTCATCTAGTTGATCGCAGTTCCTCCTACGAATATCCAAATGTTCCTCCATCGCCTGCGTAACGTGGGGCCTAACATCGCTTACGTGGTGGAGTCCTTCGAAGTTATCGCCGTTTATACAAACGTGTCAAATGATTCCGCCATATAAGCCGTATTCAGTTGCTTTAATATTTGAAATCAATTTGGTGCTCAACGAAAAAACGGAACGTTTTATGGGCACCATGAAGTCATCATTTCGTCGTTGTGGAGCTTAAAAAGTACTTCTCCCAGGAACACTTTTAAGGTTCTAGTGGTTTCTGTTTCTGTCAATAAAATTTACTGTAGACGAATTTGTTTCTTCCAGGTTGAGAGGAGCTATTATTTTCGAATCCGCTTATTGAGATCAATGCACGTCATGGGGTGTTTGTTAAACCTTAGAACTACTAACAATAAGAACACTGTGTTGCTTACAAAGCAGATGCATCCTGTTTTGAGTTCATGTGCTTGGATAGATACAAATGTGGACAAAGGGTGTACGATATGCGTTGGTTTCAATGCATCTTGCATGCAACTGAATATTAGACGACTTCAACACAAAAATCAGCCACCGTCGCTAATTTTTGGAGAAGAGAAAAGGTTTAAGACTTCGATATAGATATAAGGTTTGCATTTAGGCATATGTTGTACAGTCATATTGCCTTGGACATACCGCGTATGTTAGTTCTATGGCTTTGTTAGGAAATCGTCTATTCTCTTCTGGTCGGTTATATTCGTATTTCATGCTACAACTTCTTAGCCGTAAAGCAGTTAATCAATTCAGTTTTAGGTGGAGATAGCATCGTTATTGAATGGGACATGGAATCTGGAAAGGGAGTCTCTCGGTCGGGGAAATTAGGTGAACCACCTGTACGGCGCATCATTGTTATCGAGAAGGTAGTGTTTTCTTTTGTTTTCCATTTTCCTTTGGGTGTACTCACAGCGATACTTTTTGCGCAAGAACGACAGGTGGGTGGGTTATTTTTTACTTGAAATTCTCAAAACTTACAGTTTCCTTAATTGTTATTATTTACGCTGTTTGGTCTTTCTTCGATAAATGTCGTAAATTGCAGAAATTTTAAAAGACCTTAAAACTTTTAACGCATATAATGGCAGTTCTTTCAGCTTTGCGGCTGTTGTTCCTTCTATATATTGTTTCAATCTGTTAAATCTTGTGTTGAATAATATTTAGAACCCCTGACATCTTCATTTACACCCATACTTTGGCAGCCTTCCAGGATAGGACATTCTTCGTTATCGCCGCTGTTGGACCAACTTTACATGTTCTTGATGAACGTCTACAATCTGTTACCAGTATCGAAATATCTCAGACGATAATGGACATAGCCTTTGTCGATGGTAGCTTAATTGGTGTGAGCAGGTATGTTCAAAATTTTTGTGTTTATATCCACTGCCTCCTCTAAATTTCTTTTCGGTTAGTAATCATATTAGGAAGATATCATAGGAAAGGACTGAAAATATGGTAAATTTCCATGTGTGAGATATGTTTTAAAGAACTTGTATGTGATTGGATCGTTTATGATAACTGGAACACGCCACTCAGAGGGCGAAACGATCGCCGTGTGAATCATGTGCGAGCGCCGCCAACGACAACTGCAAACCTGAGAGCATGGCTTTTACCTGGTATGCCAGTGTGGACGCGCTACAGAAATTGCCTATGTGATTTCGCGTGACTTACACGGACAATATAAAGACCACAATATTTAGCTTTTATTTAATGCATATTTTCTCATGGCATAGTGTTGTGTGAAATACAACCACAATGATGCTGAGATTTGAGGAAAATTTGGAACTTCAGGTGGGTTTCGAATCCGCGTTTGTCCTGGGATTCGCTTGTTACCCATGGCACCACCGAGACTCTTGCTTTGTCTTCCTTTTGGCCAATTTTTTATCCTAACGGCGATATCATTAATGTAAAGATTATTTTGTCGACTCGGGGTCCTAAGTAGTCTTTAAAAACCTAGAAGAAAAATGCACGCTTATCCCAGAGAACGGTGGACTTTAAAATAGAGTATTCTGTGAAGTGAAGAAAACGCAAAGTAACGTGTGTATGGTACGATGCTTATCTTGAAATTTGGTGATTGTGGTTTAGCCATTTTACTTGTTTATGAGAATTAAGGTTCTGCAGTTGATGCGATGCATGGTGGTGTGAGATCGGTTTACGGTAATAAAGTTGCGCTGAAGTTTCAGATGTGTTGGTTAGCGTTCTCAGTGCGAGGGATCTACCACGCACCTTTTTTCCTCGTGTGAAGATCATTTTCTTGTGTGGGTAGAAAAAAAGTCATTGGGTGGGGTTTATACAATGGTTAGTGGTGCAGTCCATCAGGAAGTAAGATGCCGCTTCGACAGGCCCTCCCACCAATCCACTTTGAACGCCTTAGCTCGGCTATCTCCAAGGTTGCAAGGAGAATCGACTCCATCAACATTCTACAGCATTCACAAAGAAATCGAATCGTCAAGCAGCAGCTGAAACAGTACCCGAAATGTTCAAACACTTTTTTGGACATTGATTGCGAGGAAAACGAATGGATGCAAGAAATGCTAGTACCCGGACAATATATGTGATGACGGGTCCTGTACAATAAAAAAATAAACAATAGGTAAAAAAATTAAAATAAACAAAAACAATTTAGAAAAGGAAGAAACTTACCAGTCATTCACTGCTCTAGCGATTTCAGTGCAGGTGTGACCAGATTCGGTCTCTTTGACGGAACATCAAGTGCAATTGAAATACCAAATGAAGTTTGTCAGGCTTTGCTTCTGTCTAAGGATCCAATATCGAACTACTTCAAGAATGTTGTACATCAAAACACTCTGGATTACTACAAAAGAAAAGTGAGCGTATTATTGAGTCTGATTAGCAATCATGTATTGATAATGTTCAGGCCGAAAAGTTAGGAGGCATCGAGGTAAATCTGAGGCGAAAAAGGAAAGTAGTAAATTTGTTAGGAGAAGTCGAAGACGAGAAACGTTTTACTTGAGAAGTCGGGTGTCGAATGTCCATAACCGGTGATCTGTTGTTTTTGTTGCAAAAGTGCATGTTGAGTTATCAGTTCACAGTTATTTATTCGTTATTACGAGCACTGTTTATTACTACAAGAGTTCGTTTGGTTTGATTCACTATTTCTTCTGATCTATCGGAAACTATTTGTTTCTATAGGATTTTTTTCTGAAAAGTATTGTTTATACAACACTGACGGCGAGCTGAAACGTCTATACAATTCGCAAATTCTAGTTTAGACTTGTAAGGACTGAAATGTTCGGCTTCTTGACGTTTAATAAATAATTTATTGGTGTTCCGGCTATTTCTGTCTTTAAAATGAGAAATGAGATCTTCCTCATCCTTGCGAGCTTCTATCACACGAGTTGCAATGTTATCCATTCGGTTCATCGGGCTCAGCGAAATCATCTGGTGTGTTTCAGAATGTCGCGAATTTATATTCTTTTACAGGCAGAGAGACAGGCAGAACGAAGGACCTGGATGGTGTGGTGGTGAAGTGCGCTACTCCCCGGTAAGGACAATAGCGCGCGTTCGTTCCCCACCGCATACACCTGCGGTCCGGAGTTTTGCAAATATCTCAGCATTATATACGAGTTATATCCTTTAAGTCTCTATATTCGGAGCGAGAATAGCGCACTGGTTAATGATGCCGTCGATCAGGAAGCAAAGGCGCTTGTTCGGTCCCCGGTTCAACGATCTCCTCCGATTCATGTGTGAACGGTTTTGCTTGACTATCTCCAAGAATACAAGGAGGAACGAATTGACCACCATTCCGCGACATTCATAAAGAAGAAATCTTCAAATAGCAACCGGGACAACACGCGATATGTTCGAAGACCATTGTGGGCGATGAATGCTAGGAAAACGAATCGAATGCCAGAAGTGCTGGGATAAGCACAGTTGATGTGATGACGGCTCATGTAAAATAAAGTAAGATGGATGAAAATATTCTTTTGGTTCCCTGTAAATCACATAACATCCAAGCAGGATTTTGTATGGGCGCCCCTTAGGACGGCACCAAATTTCACATTGCCTACAGATTTGGTAAAACTCCGTCATTTTAACACCGCTGTGAGCAGATAATGAACAAACCGGGTTTTTAAATAACAGAAAGACAATTTTGCAACCAGCGAAGTGTTTGAGGTATTAGGAAGATGGAGCACTTAGAACACACGTTGCTGTATCGCTCTGACGTCATCTGTCATTTACTACGGGTTCAACACTTTTAGTATTTCCAGTCTATTTTGCAACATATGTTGGATCTATTTACGTGTTCTTTATATTCGCTAATACCATACGATAACTATAATGCATCATAGTGATTGGAAATGAAATCATAATCAATCACCGATCAAGTCCTGAACTATATGTGGATACTTGGATGCTTGGATGGCACATCTTCACTGGTTGTGCGGGCCATAATTTCCATTTTTTCGGAGTTTTGCTGGTTTAGCCATTGTGGTTCCCTACACTCCGAGGTTAGCCTGGCCAAAGTCCGTCTCAGGTCATCGTCACCACAGGCAGTCGCCGCCCTCATGGATTAGTGGGAGATTTTCCACCATGCGACCAGTTTGATACCAGGGCGGTAGTGGATCCTGGTATTGGTTTACTCTTAGCTGAGCTTCCTGATGGAAACGTTTGATTCCTTCTCAGCTGGGGAGACCCTGCCCAGGAGGATGAATCCCGCCGCCTTACATCGCAGCCCGACACCTATGAAAACCTCCCAGTCACGGTGAAGCGGCAAACCCTTGGAGAGGAACTTTATATGAGTTGATATAAAGTCTTGCCCATTTAATTATGTCCACTTCAGCAAATGGCTGCGCCTATTTCGCTGTATTTTTTGGTGTATAACTATCATTCATATGCTCTTCCAGTACGGAAATTTTCGTTTTCCACATGTGCTCTACGTCCTTTGTATGCTCCCATGCTTTAAACGACTTCGGACTCATGTCTGGCGAAAAAAGTACGTCCGCTGTGTTGCTGTTCGTAGTTGGTAGTTGGTTTTTAAACGTAACAAAACTGTTGGGATTGAAATTACAATCATCCACTGGCCAGAATTTATTCTCAAATTCTTGACCCAGTGGAATACCACGGTTTTTGAAAACTTCGATAATTTAGTAAAAATGTCTGTTTGGTCGCCTACGCATGTGCTGCTATCCTCCCAGACAAGTCTGTACCAATTTGCCGACCCCGGAGAGATGATAGGCTTGGTGAGCCTGTGGCACTGGGATCGATCTCATGTGTATGGTACGGCGACTATGACCACTGCGCCCTTTGTGTGAAAAAGAAAGATCAGCCTTGGTAAAAAAAAAAAGCAGTTACTGAAGAATTGAAAACATGTGCGCTAGTAGCCCAGTGCCGTCTCGAAGAGAGTCGCATTACCACCATACAACTCATATAAAAGCAAAATTATTGAAGCAAAGCAGCATTCACTCAGCTCACTAGAGGAGTCACGTACGAGGTTGTTGCGCTTGCCAGTAAGGACATCTCCAAAAGTGGATTTTTTGAAGAAACGATAGCAGTGGAACTCAGGAAAGATTTGTTAAACCAACGCAGACAGAAATATGGTTGACCAGTGTTACCTTGGTTGAGAAGTATTCGATAGAGGACCTAAGCACTTTCGATTAGTCCTATCTTGAAAGGAACTCCACAAAAAAAAGAAAAAACGGAGACATTGTGTTGGTTGCTACAAAGTATTGGCAAAAATTTGGGACTCGCAGTCGGGCACTATACGTCAACAATAGTTAAACCAGATGCGGTCCACAAGGCTTTCTGCCTACGTTGTATCAGTGAAAGCTACAAAAATGATGAGGCTGTAGGTCGTAAAGATTACAGACTTTATTTAAAAAACATAAATTGTAAGAATTGCAGATGGTGAGACAGGGCATGGTATTTGTAAAATCAATAGAATGTTATCAAAAGAAGACACTAAGTGGAGAACGCCTAGCCCTTTCGCAGCAAACTGTTTTCATGACACCATGACACCCACTACACAAGTGTTTAATGGCCAAGTTTATTCACCAAACAAAACATGATGGAAGTTCCACAAAAGCTCAGGAAAATTTGTTGTAACACAGAGAGAATGCAGAAAAAGGAAACTCATAGTACAACATCATGGAGCGATGGAGACAGTGAGATACCCCTCCGTCGCTGCAAAGTTGTTGCCCCAAGCGTCAACTAACGTAGATATGACTCTATACGCTGGGATTATGAAACATGAATCCTATCAGTAGTTCATGTTCAATACGTAAAGTAGAAGTAGTGAATTCTCACCTCAACGTTTCAGTTAACAGCATGAGATCTTAGCCTTCTTCGCATGAAATGTTGTGAAAAACAATTCTCATCGCTTAACATTCAGAAACCGTTCCGATACTCATTGACATGGAAGGCTTTTTAGAACGTGACCTGGTCCAGATCGATTAACAGCGAAATCACTTATTTCTGTGTGTAATAACAGCTTGGGTACTGCTGCATATAATACTGTACCGAGTAGTGTCCTCGTATTAGTTTGTGACAACAACGTAAAAAGGAACTGTGGGCTTGGACCACCAGTTTATTATCCTTTTTTTGAGGACATCAACAAATAAGCTGTCCAACTACTCTATACAGCATCGCAATGTGAACTTATGTATATCATAATCGTTGCAAAACCTAGTAAGAAGTGGTTTTACAAAGACAACGTAAAGGTGATTACGTATCGTAAGACCTACACCTAAGATTACCAAACGTTATATGGAACCTAATTACAAATAAATCAGTTCATTAGGGCAGATTAAAATTGGCGATGAGCTCAAAGAGATCAGATAGTAGAATTTTCAAGGATCATTAGTTAGATTAGGAATTTAAATAGATTAAGAATAAAAGTCACCACTACCAACAGAGACGGTAGTCGGCAACTACATTGAAACATGGAACTGCACAAAAAAAAGGAAACGTAGATGAAACTTCCCCATAGAAAAAGAAAACTACTACTTGTTTGCCTTCGGTCGACCAATCTTCTTGATAGACGGAGTCCTTGAGGGTGTCGAAGAACCAGTTTCTAAAGAATAGATTGACTGGTTGAACATCATGGACAAGACTGTTTATGGACTTTCTAAACTTTTACCACGAACAAGCACCACTTGTATCCCTGTACACCATGTCAATCGTCGACTAACTCACAAGTCCAGTAAAGTGCCCAGTAATTACGCTAGAGCGTTACAGCTGCATAGAACATTTGTCCGAAATATACAACAAGCACCACAGTTTTATGCGAAGCCTTCTATTTCTGTCGTTCCCATGAGTAGCTATCTCAGCTCGAACACGAAGGCTGAGTTCTACATGCATCTTCCAATTATGGGTGCGTATCAAACCTCTTATCTAACACTTATAAACCTTCTGCGTAATGTCGCATAAAAGTGGTTCGAGATCGTTGACATGAATTGCGATGGTTGAGTAAGACGATATGAACATCAAAAATTACCATTATGGGTGTTCTGAATTTTCTGATGCTTAGTATTACGCTGACATTCCAGGATGCCACTCTCTATTCAATTTCTAACTACTAAAATCAACCTGCAGGTGCATTTGGTTTATCTTTTGCATCTTTCCTCGTACGGTGTTTCACTTCGGTCTCACCCATTTCTTTTTCTATAAGAGTAATCAACGTATTACAACGACGTTGAAGTTCCTGAAATGTAAAAAAATCAATGAAAAAGAGGAAATGATTACCACAACGTATCAAATTCTTGTATTTCGAAATCACATAAACATAGCTAACCATAGCAGTTCTGCTCTTTATGAACCAATCGAATCTGAATTGTGGAGCCATTCGAACAGATTGCCTTAGCTCTTCGTAAACTGTCTCTTTGTCAAATCCGAGGCGATGCAGTTCACATACAAGGAATCTGTGAATCATGCTGGGTTGACAAGATTACTTTCTATTGAAGAAGTCTACAAATATATCCACAGGAAATCTATTTTCTTTTAAAAGGCACATAACACACACCTGTCTTCCTCTTCTGTATACGTTTTACCCTTATTTGTACCGTAAGCAATCCGCAGTTGATGAAAAGGAGCCTTATATTTAGCGATTTTAGCATCTAAGGCACGTTTAACAGATTGCCGACGTTGAATTCGAGCCTCTCCCTGTAAACATAAAACTTCAGATTTAGATAAACTAAAACAGTGACGAGGGTGCGCCTAGCGCAGTGGTTAGAGGCACCTTGCAATAAATACAACGATCCCGCGCCCAAAATCGTAAAGTCTTCCATCTCTCCGGAGTCAGCAAGTTGGTACCAGACTTGTCTGGGAGGATAACAGCACTGGCTCATCCGTAGGCTACCGCGAGTCATTTTAAAGGCATTAGATGCATTTAATCACCTCTACCGGTGTTTGCTGAAGTTGAACACATAGCGCATCCCTCAGGGATTGATAACGCCGAAAGCTTCATAAAATACTTCGGAAGGCGGAGAATTTAAGAACATATGCAACAGATTTTACGCGAAACTCTAATGGAAAATAATTCTTAATATTTTTGTCTCAATCTGCATTATTTTTAGTTTTTGTTACACCACCCAACATCCTACCCATCACATTGTGTGGTTGCAAGTACTTGTATTCGATTCGTTTCCTCGCATCCACAACCCCGAAAGGTCTTCACTCTTTTGCGCGTGGTTTGAGCTTCCTTTTTGAGGTGTTTCCTTTTCCGACTTGGTAACAAATGTGCTTTAATGCAGGTCGACTCGCTCCTCTTTGAAGCCCTGAGATAGCCGTACTGGGGAGCTCTAACGTAAATTAGAAGGGGTAAATTTGTCCCAGTACCAATTTCTCGACCAAGAAGAGATGAGCGGCTCGGTGGTTCGTGCGCGGAGCAGAGCTAGCGCCTGGGCGGTTTGTGCTTTTAACGTAATGAATGAGATCAGTATTACTGTACTACCTACCCTCAATGCGGCTCTTAAAATTTTTTGTGAATCAAAACCTTAAAAAAAACAGAAGAATAGGAAAATCTTAAAATTTTCAGTATAAGGGTGTAACGGTTCAAAATGACCACGCATTCAGAGAGAGGAGCTTTATCGCCAATAATAACACATTTTTTCCCACCACATGAAATTCCGTCTATTCTGTCGTCTCCCCATTCAAGATATAAACCTCGCTGACATACGAAAAAAATACTCGTGGGTGGCTACTACAGAAAATTAGAAATCCGTCGAGATAAGACAAATAGATCTGCGCCATGTTTTTAATTTATGTTTTTAGTTCAGTTAATAAGGTTCATTAAGAACAAAGATACGTTAGCTTAAGGGGGTAGGTTATTTCGGTGTATAAGGGAACTTTTTAGAAATGAATACCACTCCATTAAGATAAAAATAATTCACACCTTCTCGATCTGAGCAAGGATTTTTTCGTGATCTTGCAACTCTTCGAATCTTTCCCAGAACGTCTTCGCGTAATACTCAACCTACAAAAATAATAAATCTTAGAAGTTTACTTAATGCTCCATATAGTAGACTTCTGAGACTACGACAAAATAATATACCTCGTCTCGAGACTTCGTTTCAATCATTTCATTTGCGATGTTATCGATATCATTACGACCGAACTTTTCATTCGCCTAAAACACTATATTGATACCGCGCACAAAATAACGATAATAAACCAAAATTCTTCAACATACGCGGATAAAAGCTGTGAAGTCTCGTTTACTCCAGTTTGCCAGGCCATGAGTGAGGAGTTCATTCTTTTCAACTTGTTCTTCTTCCGTTAAAGGTTCTGCCTAAAAAACACCACTATATGAAAATAAGACGTAAAAGGGAACATATGGAAACGATAGCATAAAACAACCACATTGTTTTACATACAGTATCAATGAGTCGCTGCTCCTCTTTTTGGCGCTTTTCAGCCTCCTTTGGACCGCATTCCTTTGGCTTTTCCGCCTGAGAAAAAAACGCTAATTTAACCGACAAAACTTGTAGAAAAATCCTAATTGCCAAATGAGTTCGTCCTCACGGACAAGTATACAAATCATTTTGCGATAGCTTGAAATAAAAACATGACATGTTTGCTCTGGAAATTTATGCTGCAAAAACGTCGGACGCCGGAAGAAAAGGTCGTTACAATCAAAAAATGAACGATTTAAAAAAATACTGTTACCTCACAAGTCCTATTACGAATATGTGTCAAAAGTGCAACGTAATCGGAAAATCCTACAGTAGTTGGCTCATGGTAGTGACTATGCTATCGTGGGGTCTGTCATTTCCGACCATAAATTGTTTCAATTGAAGACTCCACTCGTATGAAGTGCTGAGATATTTGCAAAACTCCGGACCACAGGTGTATGCAGTGGAGAACGAACACGTGCTGTTGTCCTTACCGGGGAGCAGCGCACTTCACCACTACACCATCCGGTCTGACCCGGTACGCTGCTCCCCGGTAAGGACAACAGCACGTGTTCGTTCCACACTGCATACACCTGTGGTCCGGAGTTTTGCAAATATCTCAGCACTTCATACGATTTATATTTCACAACATACCTTGCCATTAAGAAGAAAAAAAAGGCAGTAAATAAAAGAGTGAAGACTCCACTGTTCTGTAGTGTAATTCAATTTGAAATGATACTACCACCTCTTTTCCAAGCTTTTGAAATGCACTTTCGAGCCGCTGTACACGATTTGTAAGATGAAATTATTGACGACGGCAACTCAGCACATTAAATGAAAAAAAGTACGTTTATAGTACTGGTTTGGGTGGCAAATAAAGGTATAAAACGCGAACAACTTATCAGAAACATCAATAAGGCGCTTACACTGTAGCTAAGAATAATTTGAGTTTGCTTATTTTCTAAAATAGCGTTGTCATTAACATGTCTTAACATTTCAGCACCACGATTACACTTCGATTTTGTCGAAAAGTGTGATAACCACTCATTCCGAACACTCATATTCTCCGGAAACACCATCCTGTTCTTTCCCGAAGCCTTGACGAGGATAATAGCTTTCTCTTGAACAGAATTAATCAAATCGCTACTTGCTTGCCAAATGTATGTGCACAGTACATGCCCCTGATGAAGCATGTTGTCGATAACTCGATAACAACAGCTTTTGCAATTCTACCTTCTCGATAGGAGTTTCTCCATACAAACTGTTCCATTGACACATACCCTGAGTAATTTGGTGTCAAGTGTATGGTTTCCACTTTTAATATGTAAACTTCATTCTTTGAGTGGTACCAAACTTTCACCATGGAGAATTCCTCAGTTGAACAGTGAACAACTGACAACTCCTGCCGAACAAATGCAAATAGCACCAATTTTGTGATGCTTGCTACACTTCTCTGCAGTTTCATTATCGGCGAAACGTAAATTCTTCATGATAGACATCATGAATCGGTTACGAGTTATCACGAAATAACGTGGGGAACCTCAAGCGGACATACCACGTGACTCGCAATAGTTTAGTATGGGAAGTTGAACATAGAATACACCATCTCTTCACCACAAGCAAAACTTAAACTCCACGAATATCATATGTATTATGAACCTCTTTTCTGATAACGTGCCTTTTAGTATCATTTACAATCTATAAAATTACTGTATCATCCAAGATTAATTTGTTATGGTTCAACGGGAAATTGGAAGCCAGTTCTATTAAGGGTCCAGAGCAGTTCTAGTGTAATAAGAAACTGCTCGATACTCAAAACTTCAAACACTCGAGAGCAAGTTCCAGAACCGTAAAAATAAATGGCTTCACATTGTTCAAAGACGTGCTAAGTAATAAGAATGTGCGACACGAACACAGAAGAAGATGTAACAAATCGTTTAGAGGATAAGGCATTATGTGTTCTGCTTTGACTAATTCCTTAGAAATCCACCGTGCATTCGACTCCACTAAGCATCGTAGAGCTGAATGAATGGAGGTTTGGCCCCGATTTTCTTTGTCTTCTCAAACAAGTTTGACACCAACTTCCCCAACCCGGAAGGATATGAGGCCTAGTCAATTCGGAGCATAAGATCGAACCAACAACCAAGTGTGGATTGCACAGCACCCTTAACCACTTCACTACACGTGCCATCAATAATTTGTTTAGATGTACAACATCCAGCTATGGTTAGTTAGTGAGCTCTTCTAAATTAATCTCATTCATAACCGTAAAACATGTTCATTTTCTTCACCTGGTCACAAAACAACATTACCGTAAGTAGATTATTACGGATTTTGTGATCACAGTGTCGAAAAGAAACTAACGCAAAAACTATTCGAAGCTTGTAAATGCTGTTTATTCTTCCTTCCTCTGCAAAAAATCTCTTAAACTTGTCTATGAGGAATGATATAATTGGAAGGACATCTCATTCGAGGAAAAGCGAAACAACAGAAACGTGACAGCTTGTCAGATGTAATTTGCCTCGAATCTCAAAACGTTTTTCCTCACCATCTACACCGTCAGCGTATAGAAACGAGATTTTTAAAAAGGAAGTAAGTTCAAGAGAAAATTACAAGAGATTTTTGGAAGTGGAATAAAACAGTTAGTGGTTTACTGAAACCATAGATACCCTGTACGTTGATAGGTTAGTCCTGTAACTATACTGAATAATAATACTGGAACGTTCCTACTATCCCAGGCCTCCAGGGAGTATCGATTCAATCACCATTTAACTACATTAATTAAGAAGACGATAATTCTCGAGCAGCAACCGAACCCACACGCAGAACGTTCAAAAATCTTCGCAGATTATGTTCGTTGTATTATCGGCGGTGAATCCAGTGAGCCAACCACTGCATTTTGTAATCCAAAGTAGTTCTCGTGAATGAAAGATGGAATAAGCGTAATGAAGCATGAGATATATTACATTATATATGTATGTATAAATATCCGAAAAAAAGAATTGTTGGAGACACTACCACGATCTATTTGGTAACTTCTAGATGAAAATACATTACTTGAACTACTCTATTCAGTGTTTTAATATTCCGTTCACAAACCTTATATCCTATGGTCTTTCTATAGTGATACGTTTCGCGATCTAGGAGCTCCATAAGACGAGGTGGGTAGAACTGGAAGTCGAACACAGCCGGTTGTTTTGGACGAGGAGCACGCGACTGCTTTTCCACTGGTTGACCCTGACGCATTGCTTCACGAAAATACGCATCCACCTAAATCTAATGAGATTTTTAACATATAACAACCGTTTAAGACACGTACTTCAAAATGTTCATGGAAAATATAGACAGCGTGGAAAGGATCTTTTACAACTTCTGGGCCTTTAGTCTACACAGTCAGTAACAGTTCCAAATGATCCTCACTTGCCCTCCGATATGCACAATGTTAACTGCAATCCCTTGCCAAATCAGTTATGTTCGCTCACTTCTACTCCGAAGGTTTTCGAAAAAGTTTAACATAAGAGATTGTACGTTCTAAGAGGATAGAAGCGGTGCGATTAATTTGGTGAAGTGAGTTTTGGCAAACGTAAACCATTCGGCCATTCTTGGCCACATGTGTTTCGTCATAAAAGAAAATGAGAGTCCCTGTGTCAACGAAATTGAGGAATAGGGAAAAGAAATTAGTCGGAAGTCAGGATAAGTCCCATTATAAATGACGACTCCCATAAAAGTATAACTTCGGTTTCCCTAAGGCCACTCAAACTTGTTTGAGTAGAAGACTTGGGAGATTAGGAGATCACATATTCGCCAAGAATCGCTGCGCAATTTTTTTTGTTCCTGGGTATTTAACCGAGCTAGAAATCCCACTCACTTCCCTAATTTTTTTTCGAACTTGACTGCAATGAGAAATTGGCAGAAACTAAGAATGACAAGCACGACCGAAATTGAACCTCAGCAAACCTGATAGTTTGCTTTCCTTTCACGCTTTGGTGGCTCGATCCAGAACTGTCCCATACCTTCATTTTGTTTATCTTTCCAATTCTCCCCTTCGAAGTTATAAACCTGAAAATACGAATTTAATTCATTGCATTGAGAAATATAAAATACGATCCAGAACCTGTCGAGATCTCAAACATTCAAAAAGCCTTACAACAAACAGTTATAAATGGAAAACTTAAAGATTTGCTATTGTCGAAGGTGAGATAACGCAAACTGTTTTCGCCGAGCTCTTCCATCTTCGCATTTAACTCAGCTGTTTTTACCTCCGCCCGTTCAAGAATGGTGTCTATATCTTCGTCCGTGATGGTAGAATCTTTTGAAGCAAATACCTATAGCCATTCTAAGTCAGACAAGAACAGTAGAAAGCAGAAACATTGGGATTAACGCTCACCAACTCTGCTCCATGCCGAATCATGTTTATCATATCGTCTTTGCCGAGAGTTTTTTGTGCTTCTGCTATTCTACCTTGTTGAATAACTATGGAATCTAATCTAAGCTTCACTTCCGCTCTTTCAATAATGCGTTCATCAACAGTGTTTTCTGTTATCAGACGGAAAACACGAACCTAAAATTAGATGGAATGCGCTGCAAAGGCAGTTTTACCAGCATCTAAAACTACCTGCTTCTTCTGTCCAATCCGATGAGCCCGATCCATTGCCTGTAAATCACTTTGGGGATTCCAGTCTGAATCGTATATGATAACTACATCTGCAGTAGCTAAGTTGATACCAAGACCTACAAAATGACATTTATGATAATATAAACGAAACGATCACGAAAAACTTACCCCCAGCTCTTGTCGTTAGCATAAAGATGAACTTCTCGGAATTTGGAGCATTATAAGCATCGATAGCTTCTTGTCTATCAATATGAGCAGTGTTACCATCTAGACGACAGTACTGATATTGCTTCCACCAACAGTAATCCTCCAATAGGTCGAGAATTCTTGAAAATTGAGAGAAAATGAGAACACGAGATCCTGAAAAGAAAAATTTATCCACTACGAACCGTCTTGGAGTCCTTGTAACAACAAAATAACCTTGCTGTTTAAGCTTTAAAAGAAGCTTGTCCAACACAACCATCTTTCCACTGTTATCAACAAGATGCTGATCGGTAGTATAAGGTGGACCAGGTTCTGCCCCATCGAAGAGGTACGGATGGTTAGCTGCTTTGCGTAAATGCATAAGAATATTCATCAATCTAAAAAAGCAGTTGCGTAACAAAGAGTTAACCCTCAAGTAAGGCATGAATACTCGTCAGGGCCATAAAAAGAACGATAAAAAATTCTGTTCAACCCGCAAAGCCTTTCACATCAAATTCAGGTTCTCATGTTCTCTTTAAATACCCATCCCTACTCCCACATACACAGTCTTAGAACCCGTAAGAATCACGAAATAAAACTAGGAATCCACATTTTCCACACACTAACCTCGCTTTTTCAACTTTGCCAGCACCATTAATAACGTCAATATCCTTCATAAGAACTTTTGTGTACCATTCACGTTGCATTTTCGACAAACCCACATAAATCTAAAGAAGTGGTTTGTAGGTTCTCAGGTTTCACACATATAAATACATATCTATGTACATATATATGCATATGTACATATTTATATACATATATACATACATTATGTACTGTCTTGAATATCCTACGACTTCTTTAATAAGAGTCTCAAGTAAGCACCATTTAGCTGAATGACTCTTCGGCATTTCCTAGCTGGTTTGGAATTCCCTTTCCACAAAGCATTCGAATCCTTGGTCAAAAAGAAAGTTTTCCAATCATATTTCCACAATGTTGCTCAAAGAATCGAAATGATCTTCTTCCAAGCACAACTTATAGCAATCAAAGTAGTTGACAGCATAAAAATGAGAGGTAGAGCAGGAGGTTTCGCCCGAAATATACCATCTATAATTCATGTAAGTTCTGCTAACATTCGCAGACAACTTTCACTGTAATGATGGAAAGCAGTTTGGCTGAGACCCAGACAGTTTGATCGCACAACATAAACACGTGAAGTCCAAGGTGAAATGATATCGACTTGTCTCCATTTTAGCATTTTACTCTAACAATCAAAGGTTTTTTGTTGAAGTTCAGATATTCAGTAGAAAACTTACTTAACATGAACCATTGTGCCAGCTGTCGAACGAGAAAAGCTCCACATATATTAATGTAGAAACATTTTTTCCAACAAGCTTCATCAAGAAAAAGAAACTGTCACTGGTAAGGAAGGTACAAAGATATCACCGACAAAGGAGAGTACTAAATGGCCTCTGTGTCTCATCAGCATTAATTGCCTTCTGCAATGACATTACACGGACTGCTGTTGATTGGGAGAGGGAGCATTAGGAGACAATACATATATGTGGAGGAAAGACAAATGTATTGGTCACCCCTGCAATACTAAACGGAGTTGAATGCATGGCGTATACTACTCAGGATTTCCTAAGTGATAAAAAATGCAAGCACCGGATGGAATATTCAAGAGTGTCTCATTTAGTTATGAGAAAATAATAATGTCAATACCTGAAACACCGCCACAAATAGAAAAAACAGCGGAAGCATTGACCGTTAGGATGAATTAGCGAAAGCTTCAACAAATAGATTTTCTAGAGGATAGATTGTTTTCTACAGAAAGGCTTGTTTTCTTAGTTAAAAAATATCAATTACACGAAAACTGAAAGCTAGTTTCAACCACATTGCCTACATGTGATTAAAGCAGTACATCTAAAAACTCGGTTTCATTTCTAACCTTCAACTAATTTCATTTATTTTTCACTTGGCTTTGGATCTATCTTACGCTTTAGTCGACCATATTTTCAACACGTATCATTGCTATCAACAATGAAAAAACTCTAGTTGCTTGATCCCTAAGACCTCTCACGCTATTACTTGGATTCTTGAATGCCCTGTCCTCAATGGTTGTGCGGGTCCCAGCATATTCCCCATTTTGCAGAGTTTTGTTGGTTTAGCCATTGTGTTTCCCTGGAGTTCCGAGGTCAGCTTGGCCAAAGTCTACTCTGGGTGGTCACCATCATAAGCAGTCACCGCCAGAGGGAGATTTGTCACCACACGACTAGTTTGATACCAGAGTAGTGATGGGTCCATACTCGCATTGGTTCACTCTTAGCTGGGCTTAATGACGGAAATGCCGGACTCCTCAGTATGGCAGACTCTGCCAGGGGGTGAATCCTCCCGCTGTACTGAGGCGGTAGACCGTTGGAGGTTCACGCTATTAGTTCGTTGAAATTCACTACAACCGATACAATCTAGTCCATTTTTGATGGAAGTCCAAGGAAAATGAAGAAAACCATGAGTCAAACCACCATATTTCACTCTATATTCATTTGATTAACATCGACTTGTGCTGGGTTTACGGATAGACAAAGTGTCCATAACAATGGTCTATAGTCGCTGGACTACCCCATATATTTAAAGCAATTGGAAAAACAAGTTTTGAAGTTTAGGCTTCCTCTGATCTTCAAATATAACATAGTGCTTAGTGGAACTCACTTTAACTTCTTTCTTTGGAAGGAGACCCTTTTCCACATCAGATTTAATACGACGAAGAAGGAATGGCTGAAGAACCTAAACAAGCTGGATTGGGACACATATATACATATACGTATATGCCATATATACACATATGTATATATATACAGATAGCGAAAACTTAATTTATGAAGCCTGGAGATTATATCCGCATTGCCCTGCATACTTCCATCAGTGAACCAAGAATCAAAGTCTTCCGAGGACGAAAACATATCCGGAAGTAGGAAATTAAGTAATGACCACAGCTCATGAAGATTATTTTGCAACGGAGTTCCAGTAATCAGGAGGCGATTTTTCGACTTGATCTCACGAACAACTTCAGAAAGCTGAAAAGTCTCATAAACTTCGGAGTAAAAGTACACAAAAAACGAAATAAATACAATATCTGCAGTAGATAAATCAATGAAACAAACCTTGGACTTCTCATTTTTGATCCTATGAGCCTCATCGATAATAATGTACTTCCAAACCAATTTTTTGAGCTGAGTTTTCACTTTTAGTACCATTTCATATGTTGTGCAGCACACATCGAATTTTTGAGGCAAGATGACGTTATGGATCACTTCGTTCTGCAAAATTGGGACAAATATAGCACTGACAAAAATAGAGTCAATGGATAGACATACAAACGTACTCTTTCTTTTTCATCACCTATTACACAACACGTAGTGATGCTGGGACACCATTTAGCAAATTCGTTCATCCAGTTCTTCAGCGTTGACTTTGGAACAATGACCAGATGTGGACCGGCCATGTTCTTGTAGTGCTTCATATATCCAAGCAATGATATTGTTTGCAGCGTCTTCCCCAAACCCTTAAGCCAAAGAATCCGAATTAAGTTGTTAATATTGCGAAACCGCCATGGGAGGAATAAAAGTATGCCAGCACACAATTTTAACGAATTCTTACCATTTCATCAGCGAGAATTCCGTTAATCCCATTATGCTGCAGAGAAATCAGCCAGTTCAGACCACGAATTTGATAGTCCCTATAGAGAAACATCTACGACTGAGTAAAGGTGGATCAGCGAACTACTTCTCACCTCAGCTCTCCATTCTGAATGTAGAAGGGATTTTTGTCGAATACCATGATATCATCTTCTTTTCGAGCGGCCTCAGCCATTTCTTCATCTTCTTCCTAAGCATAAATTTATCAATGATACCCGAAGTCACGATGAAGAGTAGAATCGATAAACACTTCATACAGACCTGCTCGGTTTTTCTGTGCCTGTGGTCACCATCTACTCCAGTTTTTGCATTTCTTCCACGCTTTTTCTTCTGGGGAGAACCTGCTACGGATTTGTACGTACACATGAGAAACGAAAGTAACAAAAATAACATGGCATAATAAAAAAGCATGATGAACTAGTACGAAAATATATATCCAAACTCCGGATGGCAGGTATCTGTGGTGGGGAACGAACGCGCTATTACCCCTTCGGGGACTAACGCGATCACCACCACACCATGCGGGTCCTTCGTTTTGCCCTTCTCTCAGCTAATTTTCTATCTACTAGTGTCATACTGTCGATAGATATTAATGAGTGCTTACCTTTATACGCGGCCACGTCACCAGCACTCAAACAGTGTGAGAAGTTTTCAGTTTTTTTCAACAACAATTCAAACCTCTTGAACGAATCTGCCTCGAATTTAGACTCCAAGCTGTCTTCTGAAAGAAAAGCGAGTAAAACATCAGCATTTGCGAAGTACTAGTTTAGAGAGTAAGCCATTATGCCTCCTTCCTCGGTCTCCATATCATCCTCTTCGTTTTCATCATTCTTCATGCTTCCTGTTTCCTCCATAGCTTCCAATTTCACCTAAAAGAAAAAAGTCGCTAGGATCCTTATGGCGCCGAGGCAACTCAACGTTTCCTATGCCCTACGTACCCTTCCGTCCCTTCTAGGGATAACAAAAAGCACCGTGGTAATCTTGAGTTCCAAAAATAAACGTTTGAAAATGGGCACGCTCAGCCACCCTATCTTCTCACTGATCTTTATCCTTGTCCCATTTAGGGACAAATAGGTTACAGGGTTTACCTCAGTTACGTCCATTTGCTCCGGTATATTAGTTGTGTCTTCAGAAGACATATCCATTTCCTAAGGAGTACAATAAGGTAACGGGAGTAAATAAGTGATAAACGATAGCAAATAAACAATAGTAATAAATGAATAATAAAAATCACGGATAGAAACAAACAGAGCAATAAAGACCGAAGGAGGGACGACTAAAACACCGCCGTTGGCCACTCCACAGGCCGCATTTTCCCTAGGATTTGAAGACGTGAATGCGAATGTGTGTACTTTCGAACAATACATGCAATAGACGTGTGCGAGTGATGCCCACATTCCAGCCTACTTCAGATCGTCAGAACGACTACTCTCTCGTCATTTTCCAAGTTGTTTTAATGCTGAATTCTAAATGTGGAGGTCATTTTGGTGACATCCTACAAAGTATTCTTAAAGTCCTCTTCTTCTGAACGTTTCCTTTAGCGTTATTTTCCCATTTTTCCGGATGGATACGGATGATGAACAATTCTCATCGGACGAAGAATGTAGGGAGCAGAAAACAGCTCAGATTCGGCCAGTGAGACACTCAGCGTTTGTTTTATGGATGCTATTGGTTCATTTGTACATGAATAAGGTGTTGAAAAATATCTGTTTTTCCCCTTCTTTTTTCTGTTTCTTCTTTCTTTCTATATGTCATCGAATGTTTCAGCGTAGTAAAATTGGATCTCGAATCAGAGGATACTGCAGAAAAAGTTTGTCGAGTGTTAAGAGTGGACAAGGAACCAAGCCGAAGCAATGCTATACGAAAATTCCACGTACATGGCTGTCATTTGCACATGTTCGTTTGTTCTCATTAGTAGAGTTGGAATACATTCAGTTACATAAAAAGGATAAAGCTCTCGGCGTTGATCAATCTCTGAGGGATGCGCCATGCATTTGACTTCATTAAGCATCGTTGGAGGTTATTGAATGCATATCTGGCCTTTACAATGACTCGCGGTGGCCAACTGATGTATCCAGCCCATGATGGTATCCTCTCAGGCAAGTCTGATACCAATCGGCGACGCCGGAGCGATGGAAGGCTTGGTGAGCCTGGGGCAGCAAGATCGGTCCCATGTGTAGTGCAGGGCCTCTGACCACTGCGCTTCGCGCACCCCACTCAAATAGAACGGTATTCTACAAAATTGCCGCTGAAGCCTTCAAGATATTCGACCGTTTTTGACATTCATATGTTATTTGATTTCAGAGAAGTAAGAAGCTTGGACAGCAGATCACTCCGGAAGTCTCTGCTCAACACGCTTGAGATGTGTGATCTTGCCAAAGCAACTGTGGATTTAGCGCAGTCGAAGAGGTGGATAGATGTCAAGCAAACGGAAGATAAGCCATCGAAAATGATGCGTGTGGAATAATTCCCTTAAATTCTTCTTTTGCTTCTGCTTCCCTTGTTATATTACTTGTTTTCTACTTTGAATTTTGCTAATAAATATTGCTTATGACGTCCGGATATGCCAAACTGGTTTCCCACTACGGTACCTCTGAAACTTTCCACAGGGACCTTGTATTCTCTTGTCTTTCCTAGTTTTTACACATTATAGATGTTCAAAGGGTTAAAGTCGAAGCTCGAAGTTGAAGCTAAAAAGCTCCATGCATCTGTACAGCAGTGCAGCGAGCAGTTCACTCAACAAATTGAGTACATCAGAAGCACATCGGTCTGTTTCTTTAGTTTCAGACTACTATATCATTATGCTACATGCTATATGTTCCATCATTATGTCATAGTTTTAGAGTGAAGCTGGAAGTGAGGGAAGAGCTAGTATAAGTCGTCGATTTCTAAGCTCTGTGGGTGGATCCTCCCCAGGCCTACAAGACACTCAAGACTCTCTTGATCTATCCGTAAGAATTGGTTTTGTTTTCGAGGTGATACAACCACTCCTAGTTCGGCATTAATTTTACCTACCTTAGGTTAGTGACACCGTCATGGAAGAAGCAAGAGATTTGTTGGATTTGGATTCTTCGTCACGTCAGAGACGTCTGTCCTGTAGCTCTGCACAAAGCACAGAGAGGTTTTATTTACGCACTTTCGGTATACCCTTCATGTCACTTGATGTTATAGTCCGCTTTTGGGATTTGGTTTCAGTTCTCTCTCGGCGTTGTTCCAATCTGTTCCGGGTCTTTCTGGTACAACGTTGGAATCACTCGATTCTGATATCGAAACTCTAGATGAGTACTGTTCTGGTGCCATTAAGGCAGCTACAAAAGATCAGGTCTCAGTCATTGGTGTATTTTCTTATAGTTTAATCATTAAGTGTTCTAACTGCTTACAGATATCCAACATGCTTTCAAGGTTGCAAAGTCGTGCTTCCCACTACAAAGCCAAGTATAGGGATTTGATGAAAAAGTATAATGACGTTGTTAGTGAAAACAACAAATGCAGGGTGTGTCTCCTCATTTATTTCGGCAAATTTCTGTTTTATAGTGTTTACTGTTTCCAGACAGTATTGACCCAAACTCAGGATAAGGCGTTTGCCCGAATTGAGAAATTGAAAAGTGAGAAAAAAGCTCTTGGAGATAGATTGCGGGAAGTTGAAGATGGTGTAAGCAAGTCTTCGGTAAGGTTCTCATCTCATTTAATTACTTTCAAGAGTAAGTTAAGTTAGGACGCTTTTATGACAGGTTGATCAGAAACTGCAGCGGTACGAGGAGCTGCTACGTGCATGTAAAGCAGAGATTGTGGAAGATCGTACGAAAATAAGGCAACTGATCCTGGAGAATGAAAAACTTTCATTGAAAGCAATTGGGAGTGAAGTTAGTAACTTTCCGTGATGTTTTTCTTTTCCAATTCTCATTACAAGAATTGGATGATATTTTCGACTAGGTTTTTCATATTGCTGAACTTCTTAAATTGATAATACGTCTCTGATGATTAGAGCATCATTTTAGGTTTGTTATTCTTCGGTTGTTGATGTTTTTGACCTAAAATAATTCAAAAACGGGTTTGCTGCTTGAAGCGATGATCTAGGGAAAGAAGTAACATCTCTATCTCGAGATCCTACGAAAAATCCTTTCCAGGAAGCAATCAAATTTTGGTTTCCCCATAAAAAGCAGTTTGATCAACTTTGTCGCCTACAATGGACGTTTTCGTTTTCGAAAACTGGAAGCAAACACTTCTTAGATTTCGTGATTCCAAAGCCGATTTTTAGGGATTTCTGTGACTCATCAACCTTTACTGTTGGTTCTGCTAGAAATGGGTTAAGCGTTCCACTCTTTACCACCACCCTTTTACATATTTTCGGTTCAGACAACAACGATGGTTGACGAAGTAGCTAACGAGTGGAAACAGCGGATCGAGAAGGTGGAAAAGGAGTGGACGGAACGAATGAATAAGGTAATGGTTTATCTTCATTTAAACCCTTTACATATTGTTTGAGGGATTGTCTTCTGTGTATTCTTATTATAACTTTCTTCATTATTTTCAGAACGACTCAGATCACGCCATTCAACTGGCGACAACGAAAGCTGGAATGCATGCTGCGCTAGAAGAGAAAGATAAGGAGGTAGTCCAAAGATTTTTCTTCTTCGCTGGTTTTCCCTTACAGTGCAATATTTTAGATAGAATCGTGGAGATCGAAATGTCGCGCTCTTGAGATACAGGACGGACAAGCGAATGAGCGTTGGCAAAAGAAAGTGGATGAACTAGTGCAAGTTGTGCAGGTAACGTTTCATTTTTTGTTGTTCGCTTATGTGAACCGTCAACACATATTGTCCAGACCACGGCACATCCTTCATTGGTTTTGTTACCTTGCGTCCATCATCCACTAATCTTCGAGTTTTTATGTGGATTCGACTTCTAGAATATTTCATTCTCGTGGATTTCGTTCAATTCTGGTTAGATTAGTTTTATATGGGACGCTAGCGTAATTTTACTAGAGTATTCACATGTTTCGCCACAGGGCAATCAACTTTGCGAATCAGAGGGAATTGCTTTTTTAGACTAGTCTGGTACCAATTTACAGATTCGAGAGAGATGGAAGACTTGGTTGACCAAGACTAGAGCGGTTCCAATAGGTAAAGGGCGTTTGTTTCAGCGTATTTCGTAACCACTGCGCTTCATTCACTATATTAGGATTACGAATGTGTTGAAAACTGTTAGATACGTAATGGAAGAACCTCTTTTTATCTGCATACTTATCTTCCAAATTGTTTCTCCTCTTATCGTTTTTGTTTCTTATTATTTTGTTATTTTCTAACCGTTTTAGGCGCTGGAAGTGGAGAAGGGCGATATGGTGGTAAAGTTATCGGAAGCGAAACAACAAGGCGTTAAAGTACGTTGTTTAGTTGCTTCAATGTCAATTGAAACATCCCTTTATTCAGGCTGTTCTTGACGAGGAAGAAGAAAAGCGTGAGAAACTAGTTGAAGACTTCCTGGCTAAAGAAGAGGCAGTAAGAGTGGAATTTGAAGCAAAGATTACTGAGCTTGAGAGCATGAAGGATGAAGAGATTCGAAAACTGGTATTAGTCATTGTTGTCACTGCCATGGGTTTTTTGTGGATTTTTAGAAACCTTTGTGTGGATTTCTTTTCTAAATTGTTAATATCTTAAATTTGAAGGCTCCACTTAAACATTTATTTGATGCTTTCAGAAATCAGAACTGGACAATATTCAGAGTAGTCTTGAAGGGCAAAATGATATGTTCTTTGAGGTTGAAAATCTGCGAGCGCAACTTGCAGATGTGGATGAGAGAAGGCGGGAAGAGGTATTGTCGTCTTTGAATTAATGTGTGGTTGCCATGCGTTTCGTTCTATGACAAATAGATTTCATACCGTCAAAATGTTGCCTACAAAGAACTTTGATTATGTGCCTTATTTATTTGCTTGGATATTTGTTTGGCTCGTAGTGTATCAATAGTTATGTGGTCCAGGACTTTCTTTATTCGCTTTTTTCTTGTGAAATTATCCTCCATGATGGTGGTCTGTTTTGAACATACTGACGTCCACACATTTCGGAATCCTGAAATCATTTCCGTTTGCCAATGCAGATGGTTGACATTTGCCGTGAACACATTCGACCATTGCTTGGTGTACGTACATATATATGCGCATTTCTGTAACATATACTATACTATATTTTTTTTATTTTTCTTTTATTTTTATATGACCCGTTTTCACCTCTAATGTGCGGATCCCAACACTTCTCACGTTCGATTCGTTTCCTCGAATCTGTTGTCCACGAGGACCTTCCAACTTTAATGTGTGACTTCGACTACTGCTCTAGGATTTTCATTTCATCTCGAATGTCGTGTAATGCTGGTCGAGTCTCTCTCTGGAGTCCTGAGACAGCCGGGATGGAGTGTTCCCAATTGGAGTTCGGAGAGTGATTTTTTTCTCGAACAAGTCCGGTGGCAATTTCGTGATCCCGGAGGGATGAGAGGTTTGGTTAGCCAGAAGCGCCATCGAAGTAGAACCATGCTCGTGATGATCGTCATCGTTACTACTGTGCTATTGACCTCCTCGTACCATATTAAGTAATGTTATATTACTGTGCTATACCACCCTATGTACTATATCA